GCATCTCGGCACATCCTCAAGCACCGGGTGCAGGCGCTCCTACGGTGCAGCTCGCGGCTGTTCAGCAGGCGGGACAGGCTGCGAATGGCGTAGTAGTGCCCGTCGTACAGCAGCAGACACACCTCGTTGGGTGCCTCCTCCGGGGTGAGCTTGCTGTGGCGAACGATGCTGAACAGCGGCTCCATGTGCCCTCCCCCGTCTCGCCACCTCCACCGCCGTCGCCGCCGGGGTACCGCATCCGACGGCTCCCCTTCCCCCGCCTCCTCCTCCTCCATCTCCTCTTCTACCCCTCCCTCCCACAAGTACTCCGCCATCTGCGCTGCATTGTCCTCCTCCGCCTCCCCGTCTGGGTCCACAGGCCCCTCCCTCCCGGCGGCCGCATTCGGCCTGAACTCCAGCTCCAGCCCAAACACGTGGATGCGCAGGCGGTGCTTCTCAAGGTTAGCCCGCTCGAAGCGGTTGATGGCCTTCACAGGCATGGGCCACTCCAGGCCGGCCCAGGTGTACTGCCGCGTGAACTGCCTGTACTGGCACCACCGCTGTGGATGCCTTGCTGGGGTTCCTTCGGCATGCCGGGCGCACAGCACCGCCCACTTGAAGCACCTGTTCTCCTCGCTTGGGGGTAGCTGCACGTCAACCACAGCCTTCTTGCGTTGGATGCATGGTGGGAGGCCGCGCCGGCCAGTGGATCGGGCGCCGCCTAACAGAAGGGGGCAGCGAGCCACCTCCAGCTGCACCCACACGACCGCATCCACCACGTGGCCTGACCCCACCGTCGCCATCTCCTCGATCCACGCCTCCACCTGCTCCTCAAACGCCGCCAGCACTTCCTCCAGCGCATCCGCCGCTGTCAGCAGTGTGGGTCGTGTTGTAAACCGCACCTCGTATGGCCGCTCATTCGGCACGTCCAGCATGTGAAGCTGCACGGACACGTTCACCTTGCTGCTGCCGAGCTGCATCAGAGCCCGCCCCAAGCATGCCAGCATGCTGCTGCGGAGCTGCATGAGCGTGGCGCCGGCGGACATAATGGCGCTGTCCTGCACAGGGCTGTCCAGTTGGGGGGCCCACTCCCACGTCTGCAGCTGACTGCCTCTGAAGGCGGCCCGGTGGATGGGAGTTAACCATGCCGCTGCCTCTGCTGCTCCTGCTGCTGCTGCTGCTCCTTCTTGCACCGAACCAGCTGTGGGGCTACCGCAGTGATCGGCGCCACTCGCCTGCGAAGTGGCACTATAGAATGCCTCCTCCGCATCACTGCTGTATGCCATTGCTGAGGCGTACACAGATGCTCCCTGTGATGGCTGCATCCCGAGCAGTGCAGCGCCTAGTCCTGCTGCAGTGCAGGAGAGCGTCTAGTATGCTGCTGGAGAGCGGATACTAGTGGCGGCAGCTGGCGGCGTCTAGTACCGCAGTACAGATCTGTGGATTACGTGCCGCGCACAGTGCATTACGTCATGCACGGCGGCGGCGGCCCAACCCCAGCCCGTGGTGCCAGGGGGTGCTGCCTTCTCTGTCGGTGGGCTTGCAGGTGGTGTTTTCCAGGGGTGCTTCCCTGGTATCCAGTGGTTTTCTCCGCTGGTTTTCTTGGTGGTCTTCCTGTCCTTCCTCTGTAACAGTCCACATCAGAAAAAAAAAGCAGGTGTCGGTGCAGCTGCTTCCAGGGTTGGTTACCGGGCTGTGCGAGCTGCACAATGGTCTTGGCTTGCAGGGCATCCAGAAAGGACTGCAGGTCAATGTGCCCGATGCCACCTTGGTCCTTGGAAAGGCTGGCAACCCCTTGCTTTGGCAGCAATGTGGCGTAACCGCCAGATACCAGACTGGCATCTTCTGGGAGTGTTGACCAGGCCACAAACCCATCCACCGTCCGTTGGGCCCGCTGCAGTTGCTCTGGCCGAGGGGAGATGAAGGAGAAGTGATACGCCAGCGTGTTGCCCAAGACTTGCTTGGCGATGTGAGTCCTGCCAACCATGCTGAGGGAATGCGGGCTCCAGCGGCTGGCCACCTGCTTAAGCCTGCCTATCCTACCATCGTAGCAAAGCTTAGCTGCTGTGGGGATGTCGTCGGTCAGAGGGACTCCCAGGTGTCGGGGCGGATGACTAGCACTAGGTAGCAGTTCAGAGGTGGAAGTGTTTCCTCTTCTTGGTTACGAGGGGGTATCAGGGGTCCCTGAACACGGGGGTACGCAGGGGTATCAGGGGTCCCGGAACTCGGGAGTGTGTGGGGGTATCAGGGGTCCCCAAACTCGGGGGGTTGCATGTGTTTTTCCAGGTGGTCAGAGTGAGGTTTTGACCTCTTAGGCAGGTCACCCGTCCTTGTCCTTGTCCTGTCTGGTGTGTTGTCTGTTGCAGTTTCCTTCTCCTCTGTCAGGTGGGCTTGCAGGTGGTGTTTTCTAGGGGTGCTTCCCTGATGTTTTTTCTCCGCTGGTTTCTAGATGGTCTTCCTGTCCTTTCTCTGTAACAGTCCTCATCAGAAAAAAAAAACGGACAGCTCCCGGACGGCACGGACAGCCCCCGCAAGGCGCGGACAGCTCCCGCCCAGCCCTGACAGCCCCCACATGGCATGAAACGCCCCCGCACGGCAAGGACAGCCACCGCACGGCACGGACAGACCCCGCACAGCACCGACAGCTCCTGCACCGCACGGGCAGCCCCCGCCCGGCACGGAAAGCCCTCGCGTGGCATGGACAGTCCCCGGACGGCACGAACAGCTCCTGAACGGCACGGACAGCCCTCGCATGGCATGAACGCACGGCACGGACAGCCCCCGCACCGCATGGCATGGACAGCCCCCGTCGGCACGAATCCGCACGGCACGGACAGCCCTCGCATGGCGTGAAATGCCCCCGCCCGGCACGGACAGCCCCCGCCCGGCACGGACAGCCTTCACACGGCATGAACAGTCCCCGCATGGCACGGACAGCTGCCACACGGCACGGACAACCCCCGCTTGGCGCGGACAGCCCCCTCACGGCAAGGATTTTTTTTTCCGATGTGGACTGTTACAGAGGAAGGACAGGAAGACCACCAAGACCAGACCGAAGCGATCTCATGGCCTGCCCAAATGGGTGTGTAGCATGGGGGGGTGACGGTGTGGTGGGGTGGTTGGGTGCGTTTTCGCGGCTGTTTATGATGGCGGTGTGTGGGAGTCATGCTTGGGTGGGTAAGGTGGCGGGCTGGGGGGCTGACGAGGCTGCTTAGGAGAGTGGCGCATGGGTGTCCCGTTTGGGAGGGTCAGATGGCTGCGTAGGGTCATATGAGGGAGGCGTTTACAGCGTCGAGGGGCATGCCTGGATAGTGCGAATTGGCATATTGCACCAGCAAGCCCGGTGTCTGCGGCCCTCAGGGGCAAGCCGTCTTGCTAAGCAGGGTCGCAATTGCGTTGGCAACTCGAGGGTATCATGGGCGTGCACAGAAACTGACGCACGGTCCTAGGTATCAGTTGCCCTCGCTGTCACCCTCATTCGAGCACAGGGATGGGGTGGGAATGGGTTGGCAAGGGGAGTCACGGGGAGAGAACAATAAAGGCATGGAAGCTAAAGGATGGCGTGGGCAGGGAAAGGGATAGGAAAGCAAGAAGAGGGTTGGTGGTGAAAGGAAAGCGAGGAAAGGTAAGGCAACAGGAAAGTAGGGGTGGGGAGGACAGGGCGGTGGCATGGCTTGCATAGGAAAAGTGTATTGAACCGTGGAGGCTATAACATCCATAGAGGCTGAGTTTGGGAGCCAAGCTTTGGCAGGGGAGGGGAGGGGATGGAGATCTGCAGGCTTCCTCTGCTGCTTCAACTGTAGTGTAGGTGCACCTTTGCACTCCACTGCGTTTGTCATATGCTGGCAGAGCCTCGTCGCCAAAGTTGTCTTCTTCTATGTGGGCAGGGGTTTGTGGGTGGCATTCAGAGCATGTTGGGCTAGTATTCAGTGGTACGCTCTCTTCGGTGCAGCATTCCTCCAGCACCTTTTCTGAAATGCACTCATAATAAACAACGTACCCATACCGCTCTCCTTTTGAGCAGTGCTTGGAACATTGTCACCTTCGTTTGTGCGACGGAGCAATGTCGTCAGCGAAACAGTGGCTACCTTCAAACAGTTCACTATGAGCGACCGTACCTTTTTGACTTTGTTCCTTCCGCAGTCGATTCCGCACCATGCCTACAGTGATACTGGGCCGCCCCATTTCCTGCAGCAATGTCTTTGGCGACGCTTCCTTCCCAGTAGCCACGATAGTTTGTAATGCGTGTTTATACGTCAAGCCCTTCAAGCGCGTGTCGGAGCACACTTCGTCATACAATAGCTTGGCAGTAAGTTTCAGTCCGCTAGAAGCAATAGTCTCGGCTGCTTTACACAGAGCCTCAACTTCATATGTTTTCCTGCATTCCCTGGCCATTGTGTGTATTGAGTAAGGAAGGCAATACCGAAGCCATTTGTGTCGGCCCTATTAAACTACGCTGCTGGCCTTACCGCGACAACAACCTAACGGATACCAACGTGTAGCAAGCTATCGACATGCGCTTAATGCCTCTTTTTTTGTAACTTGTTTTGTACTTTGTACGACACAGGCCAATATCACTGCTCACCCATATACACATCATTATTTTAACATCACAATACAACAAACACGTGTGCATTGATTATGTGACGAACGCTGCAGCTAGAAACTCCTCTCTACTCATAACAATCGTTCTTGACTTGAAGCCACATCGCAGGTTGCCTTTGTGACTTGCATATACACATTCAAATTCCAAACCTTTTGCACGAAAAAGATGCCAACCAGACCGAAGCGATCTCATGGCCTGCCCATGTGTTGTAGTATACTATAGTTGTGTATAGTAGTGTGTGTGGTCGGACTGCAGCGGTTCGGTCATGCTGTTAGGTACAGTTACAGATAGGGCTGCGTTGCTTGTGTAATGACGGCGCGCTGAACAGCGGCAGTCGTTACCCGCTTGCTACCATGACCAATACTGCGGTTGCCCAGCGACACGTTACCAGGTACCACTTGCAAGTCCACCCGGCGTGTGATCCACCCTCCCAGTACAGGTACAGGTTCGGGCCCTTCCCCCCTTTGTCCTAGCTGTCAGTTGCCCGGTACCCGCAGCACCACCCCCGCCTAGTTGCATGTGCCCAACACCCATTCCATCAGCCGCTCAGGCGGGCCCTAGGATGTTGTGTGCATGCATTTAGGTGCTGTCATCGTCAGTGTCCTCCTCGCCGCCCTCCGAGGCAGAGCCACTTCCATCTGCATCCCCATCCTCATCACTGCTTCCCTCACTAGTGTCCGTGTCCTCCACGGGATCTTCCGACGCCGCCATGCTGCTGCTGCTGGCCCTCTCGTCCTCCTCGTCATCTACATCGGACACATCCTCGTCCGTGTCCCCCCCAACGCCATCACTACCCTCGTCCCCGCTCGCCGTGTGCTGCTGCTCCTCACTGCTTGCCAGGTCCACGGCGCCACTGTGGTGGCCGCTGTCCGAGCAGTCCATGGAGCCGTCGCTGGCGGCGGCCTCCTCCGAGGCGGCAGCGTGCTGGCTGCCATGGGCGTCACCCGCATCTTCATCCGCGACCTTTTGGAACTCACGGATGTAGATGTACGAGTGGTTGTTGTAACTGGCCGTGGGTGGGGTGGGTGGGGTGGCGGGGAGGGCGGTTGTTGGAATGCTGCGCCGTTTAGGTGTGTGAATTAGGCAAGGACTTAAGGTGCACACTCTGGGCATTGCGTGTTTTTAGCAGGGGCACAGCAGGGGTTGTCAGCAGGCTTTGAGAGCTGCCACCTTTTCCCGCATGGACTCACGTGCGCAGGGTGGCGTCCCGGATGATGAGAGTGCCATCCATCCGAGAGGCTCAGGAGGGGCGTCAGGACCAGCTTGGCGTACTTGCGGTCGCTGCTGATCTTGATCGCGCTGGCCTTGCCAGCCGGGAATCCCAGGAACCGATGGATGGCCATGTCGTGGAAGTGGAGCTCCACACTGTACGTGGTGCCATCCACGCTGCAGTCGGGCGCCAAGCCCGTGAGGATGTACTTGCTAAAGGTGCTGGGGCCACCCTTGAGCTTGCCGTGGACCGAGCACCTGGCGTGTTGGGTTTTGGGAAGCGCAGAGTAACGGGTGGTTCAAGGCAGCAGTAATGGTAGCGGGGCTGGTACACGCATTGTTGAAACAAACTAGCAGAAGTCTGGAGTCACGCTGGTAAGCATATTCCCGTGCCACACTCACGTGAAGGTCGAGTCCTCGGAAACCTGGAGCCGCTTGCCGCAGGGCTGGTTGTTTGGGGAGGTTGGCTCCGTGCAGTCGTAGCTGAAGGGGTTGTTCACGTTGTGCAGGACCTTGATCTGCAGCCGCACATGGCTCACGTACACGTTGTGGAGTGGGTGCCGGGCCGCAGCACTGATGGCCTCCGTCAGCTTCTTGGACCTGCAGGCGTTGGACACCTCACCAGCGTTCTGCAGGGTTGGGCAGGAGAGATGGGTGCGTAAGAGCGGTGGAATGGTGGCCGGAACGTTAGTTGGCTACCTGTGTACCCAAGTGGCCGGTCCCAGCTGGATATTTAGCAAGGTGTTGCCATACCTGGAATGCGAAATTGGTGCTGCTGATATCCGTGAAGCGGGCCATGGGCTCCGTAGCCGTCTGGATGCTTGTGATGGCGCGGGTGGTGAGGCTGTAGTTGACAGCGCTCCCAGTCCTGAAGACTCGGGTGGCGGCGTTGAGCACGAGAAGCACTTGGCCCACCTTCCACTCCGTCTTGGCCAGGTCCCTGCGTGGTGGAGACGCGAGGCGGCATCACGAGCAAGCAAGTCATGGGCAATAATAATGCCGCGTGTAATCTTGCGCGGCCTTCAAAGCAGAGTTTTTTTTTCTATTACGCAGCCCAAGCAGGTAGTAGGTTGTGTTTTCTGAAAATAGCAGGTTTCTGATTTGGGATCTGCGCGCTTGCGCCTGTGGCCCGCATCCGCAGTACCCTTGCCCTCTTGCATGCCTCCGATTGTCACCCCTGCTGCATGTTGTAAGACCCGTGGGTCACCAACCCTTTGCTAGTAAGGGAGAACGGCCTCGCTGGCCGGAGGAGGCACTCACGCATGGATTTATTAAAGACACTCCTTGGTTGCACACCGTGGAAATGTTTTTGTATACAGCCGCTTTCCCCTGGGTAATAATCTAGGTAACAGACATGATGCGCAGGAAGCACTTTTCCCGATCTTTCCCTAGCTCACCCCCAAAGCGAGATGGCGATGCTGTGGGTGTCCGTGTAGGTGGGCGAGTCGTTGTTAGGGGCCACCAGCGTCAGCTCACGGGAAGCCACGGTGCGGCCCTGTATGTCCTTCATGGTGAGCGGCGTGGTGCCCTGAACAGCCGCTGCCAGGCAGCATGCATGCATGGGGCAGGTTGGCAAGGGGGTAGTGTTAGGGTGGTTGTAGAATCCTTTGGATGCTGGCTGCATGGTTGGAGGTCTTCTTAACCGGTTTCCCTGCTTACCAAGGATGTTGACCAAGTGGTCGTGCGGCACGGTGCCATCCAAGCACAGCGCCATGTCGGTGAGGGGCACCGGCATGATTGGCTCCAGAGCCGTGACCTGCTGTGCAGCGTCCTTGATGTGTAGGGTCACAGGGCTGCGCGACTTGCTGAACCTGAAGTTGTCCTCACGCCTGCGGCCAGTTAAAGAGGTACAGGTCGGGCATATGGTCGGCGGGGCTGGTGACGCCCACTACTGGGTCAGGCGTGGTGCTTGCAGTTGCTGGGTTGCCCTTTCTTGTCCTAACTGCTTCCCGGAGCCCTATCTATCCGCGACCGTTGTGTTTGCCATGCCCAGACGTACTTTACGACGGGCTTCCGGATGAGGATCTTGCCGTGGTCCATAATATCAGTGAGGTGGCGTGAGTTGCTGGCCCCAAACGTGATGACATCGAGTGAGAGGTGAGGCAGCTCCGGGTCGCTGACAAGCATGCGGACCATTTGCTTGTCAGAGCTTGGTTTGTAGGCCGTGACACTGCGGACGTATGCAAGGAACGATGTCGGCAGCTCGCGGCCGTTGCTGCTGAGCTTTACAGGGTTGACATCGTGCACGGCATCCCGCAGGGGCTTGGCACCGGCGGCATCCTGGCGGATGGGTGGCGAGGAACATGGCAGTACAGGCAGGTGTGTAGGGGTCGGGTTGGGAGGGACGGAGTAAACCTACGAAAGTTACAGGTTACATTTCACTTAAGGACTTCATTAAACATGTTGTACAGTAATTTCAGACCCAAAGGCGTGCACACAAGGCACGTTTGGGGGTTGTACGTCAGAGGCGTAACTACAATTCGTGACCTGACCACCCGCAAACCCGGATTCACACACTGTTTAAGTAATGTGTGATTACGCTCACGTATTCTCAGTTCCGAATTTGGATTTTCATGTTAATTCACAACCCTTCCCTAATAGGGGTGTTGAGGAACAACGGCGAAAAGGGTCGTGACATGGCTGCTGGCCTCACCCTGGGCGAGCGAGTCCTGTCCTGGCTGGGGGGTTCCTGTTCGGGGTCCTTGCTGGGCTGCGCCTGCAGGTTGCCCGGGGGGAGGGGGTTGCTCATGACAATCAAGCAGCAAGGAACACGGCGGGCAGCATAATTGGGCAGGCTGCTGCGATGGCTCAGAGGTCAAGGCACCTGCACTAAACAGCGTCTCCCCAAACTAATGCCCGCGCTGTACCTTGGCACTGCAGCGTTTCGCCGCTGGCGGCTGCAGGGTGGGCGTGGCGGGCGGGGTCTTGCGCTTGAGGGCAGTAGCGGCGGTCGTCGGCTTGGCACCAGCGGGGGGTGTAGTGGTAGCAGGGGTGCGAGCGCTCTGGGAAAGGGCATGGTGGGTGGGGCAAGGCGGTTAGACCCGGGGAGCGGTCGGTGCGGGAATATTACTGCTGGGGTGCATGTATGTTTTGCGCGCTCACCTTGCGAGCAGGCGGCATGCTGGTGGGCTTGGTGGCCTATGAGCACGGGAAGTGAAAGACGGTGAGGCGGGGCTAGAGTGTATTCAAGTGCAGCAGGCCAAGTACCTGTGGGGTCGCAGCACGCACGGTGTCCGGTCGCACATGCTCCGGGCATTTCTGCAATGTAAAGGTCACTTGGTTGGCTGGTGAATGACTGTGGTCGGACGTGGGGGGTGCGCATGCAGAGGGATGTAGCGCGCCCAGGTGCGTACCTGGAGGGCAAAGTCGCGCACGTGGGCATCGTAGTACTCCTCGGTGAAGCGGTTGATGTTGACCCAGGTGATCTTGCCCGTGGTGCGGAGCTTGATCTGGACCTCCTTGCTGTTCTTGGGCTCGTTGTAGCGAGCGTCGACCAGGCAAGCAACCATGTCCTCGCTCTGCATTTTTGGGCAGTTTTTTGGTAAGCTTACTAGCGTTAGAGCACACGCCCCATCATGAAACGCACGGCCTCGCTTACAATATCGTTGCACGTGCGGCCACGCCGAGGGCTGGGCTGCTGGGCCCTTGGGCCACTGATGGTCGGTGCTGCAGCTTCTGCTTGCTTGTTACGCGGCTTGCCACTGGCCTGCGGTGTTAATGCGTATAGGTTGGGTGTTGGAGGAACGGAGGTGCGGAGGCTTGCTCAAGCGGTGGCTATCTCATGCTGCCTGCCTTGTATTACCTTTGCGTTTGTCTTCATGGCACTGGCTGATGGTGACCCGTGCTTGCTGCGGGTCTTGCCCGACAGTGTCGGAGGTGTTGATGGCGGCGCATGGTTGCTGCTTGGCGGCGCGGCGTCGCCCTGTGAGGCGTAGCAGGTGTTGGCTTCACGGCTATGCTGGCCAGCGGGGTGCGGGGATTCACTTACCTTGGTGCGACGGCCGGTGTTCATCTCCTTGTAGTTGGGCTGCGCCTTGTTCCGGGACGGGCGCTCCTTCGCGAATGAAAGACAAATTAGGAAATTATTTGTTATTTTCGGGACCCAGCCTATGTCGGGGGCGTGTGGGCTGTGTTGTGGCTTGCCTTGCCACGCGATGTCGCCATGTCTTGCACACTTAGGAAGGTTCAGGAGGCCTTGAGGCGGGCTGGCTGTGATTAACGGGTAGACTTGTTAATTGTTTACAGCTGAATACATTGCGCATGACTGCTTGTGGGATGCGTTATGTGTACTGCAAATTGTGCATGGTTCCGGAGGTGGGAGTCTATTGGTCCAGTCGTTGGGCACTTGTGCATAGTGTTTTTAAAGAACCGCACAATGAGCCTTGATGCATTGGTGTCCACCTCAATCGTGCATAGTTTTAGCAGTGCAGGCGCTAGGGACGACTTTCTCAGACGTGTGTGCGATGTGTGGTCCTTTAGTCCACCCGGCTCTGAGGTTGCTGGCGCTGTCATCCGACGTTGCCTAGTGCAGGGATGCTGTGGCGAGCTTAGGGCGTTTGTGAGCGCAGATGGAGTTGAGGGTCGAGTTTGCTGGCGCGCTGAGCACACGGCGCACAGTGCAGAGGCCTGTGTAGAGCGCAATCGCAATCGCAAAAGGTGGGTGAGCGGGCGACGGCTCGTAGTAGACTCGTGCTTGACTTGTGGTAGCCGTTGGTCTCCAAACCTCCTACACCTGGCCTTTCGTTCTGCAGGGCCGGCTTGGCGGCGGGCAGGACGCTGTTGGCACTTGCCGCTGCTGACGAATGCGATGGGCGACGT